CCCCCCCCCCCCCCCCCCCCCCCCCATATTCATCGTGCTCGGCTCTAGTATATGTAGCACGCCGCCTACTGAACATTTTCTCTGTTTAATAGATAAAGCTGCCGAGAATTTAGACAGGGTATTGGTCAATGTTCCTCAAGTAATCAGACAAAAGCGGTGCAAAATATTGCGTGGTTTTTCTGGTGTGACATACTGTCATCCAGACTGAAAATGCCATCATGTTTTTATCATTTTTATACTGAACCCCACAATGCTGATATGGGGTACTTGTCAAAGACAGTGTCCAGTAGCAGTACTGTCAAAAGCTCCGTTGAAAGCTAATAATTAGAGAGTCTTTTTATCCACCCGACACAGTCTTCAAATTTACCCGATACTGGCATTCTGCCAAAGCCATGTCTCCGGGAAGACATTACGTATTCTCCCCACCTCTTGCAGTGGCTGTGTCCCGGTGGTGCCGCCAGGATTTGGATTGGGATTTGGATTGGGATTTGGCTTTGGAATGACATTCGGCATTACACCCGCCATTGGCAAGGGAGGATCTAAACATTCATATCAAAATCATACTGTTGTTGTACATTCATCAACACATATTATATTATGAATCCTGAACGGTTAAATATCCAGGAAGACATTTTGCACTCTATCTACTTGCAGGGTTTCGCCATGGCGGCTTTGCCACATGTATGAAGTACCAGCATGTTATCCATTTCTGATTCTAGTAAACTCTCAGATCCGTATATTGAATTTCAATGGGTTCCTTCACCTAAATATATATCTATCTCTTTGCTTCAACGTTTTATTGGGTTTCTACAGAAATCTCTTTAATAACGCACAACGTTCAATTCCCAACCCAGTTACGACAGAGATAGAAACAAGTAATCAATGCATTATACTATTATTACCAAGTATCTAAAAAGAACTGAAAATTAGTTACACTACACTGGAATAGATATTACATGATTCACTAAAATGTCTTTATCTTATCAAGCTTATTCTTGACTTAGGATACATCCTTAAAGTGATAAGAACTCTTCGTTTTGGCCAAAAGAATGAATTTTCCTGGAGTAAACAGCAATTTTCCCATACTTACCAATGTTTATTGAATCCATTTTTACATTCAAAGTTAGTCTTTTTTTTTCCAATTTTTTTAGTTATAATCTCTTAGGAGATTATAACAGAGTATAGCCATCAATGGGGGTCACGTGGTTTAAAGACAAGCTCAGATATCAGAATAAAAGCTAAAACTGCCTTTTTAGTGGCAAAACAGAATATATCATATTTCTATGAGTCGTTCACAAATTTTTTTATTATAAAATATATATCTCATACGAAGAGTTATTACCCATTTAAATATCTTACCCTAAATATTAATTAGATGCTAAAACATCTTTTTAAAAACTGCTGATATTTCCTCTATTTTTCGGCTATACCGCTGTAACATTTGTATGACTTAAATCTTAAACGAGTCGTTGCTTTATAACTGAAATTTTATGTATGAAAACACATTTCTTACTCAGCATCCTTATATCCTGAAAATAATGTAATTATACCAATGCATTCATTTTAGCTTGGGTATATAACAGAGCATTAAAACTAAAAAAAGACGGACAGAAAAATAAACGTTCTACTTATTCTAATTCATCTAATAATAATTAATAATCGAGTAATATAAGTAATGTTGACAAAATAAGCATGCATTCGTGCATGTTTTTTTTCTCAGGTGTTTATACTGGGGCGATAATAAATCAATAAACACATCTTTTTTTAATATTAGCGCTTCCTTTTTAAGCACCCCGCTCATTTTATTTCATAACTTAAACCTACACCTGTAAGGCATGAATGTGGGTACATTTGTTTTGCACACAGTAGGCTATATTCATGCGCTTGCTACTTACATATCATTGGTTCTTTATGCTGGTAAAGCATTGTATCGGATAAAACAACGACGCCGGTGTTCTGAAAAAATATTGATAAACGATTACAGAAACGAAGCACAATATTGCTTTTCTTTTTTGAAAATCTGATAAAATGGTGATGTCTACTTGTACACTAACGTCCATGAAAAACAATCAGTGCTTCTTGAGAGAAATGAAAGATGACATCAAGAAGCGCTACTATATAACGTTCGAGGGGTTCTTGAGATGATGCATAGGCCGTTCTGATTTCAGATCTGACCATATACACTGCATATACCGTATAACAATCTTTTATTTACCTGGAACATGTCATGTGCATCAGTGCCACCTATCGGAATGGGATACCACCAAATCGAACGCTTCTTTCTTCCAATGACTGGACGTCCACCCCAGCCATAAAACGACTCTTTCCTTGTATCGTATGTATCCAATTCCCCCAATACCTAACAAAAAAGCATGGTAGAATGGTCTTTGTTTGATTCAGTTGAAATATAGTTCTTTGCTTACCAAAAAGCCAATTTTCTCAAATTCTCCCTTGTATGTGGTTATTTTACACCTGGACAGATGTTCGCCACTCAAAAACCAGACACATATGCGTACCAGGGGCGGATCCAGGATAATTTGAAGGGGGGCTCGTGTAAAAAAACAATAATTGTTTGTGCTTTAATTATTTATCCGTTTGATGAGCGTAATTTTGAATACTAAGAAAGAGGCCCACACTTCCATAAAAAATGTATTAAATACCTCCTCTTGAGTGATGTCATTCCCAGATTTAAGCAGCAACACACTTTGGTCTACAGCCAAGAGGCCTACAAACGATCCAGGATCGGCAGACAGTGACACGCTCACTTTTTGGCCGGGTTCTGCCTTGGTTTTGTCAAATTGAAGGGAGACCTAGAAAAGCGGCAAGTATTGACGATGATATTTATATAGTAAAATTATTCTTATCTATTCAGAGCAGTTAGAAAAGTACGGTTACAATGCCTACTGCTCCTTTTGAATAAAGATCGTCACCTTCTCAACGTTTTTGAATATTATGGAAAGAAGTCGATTTATACGTCAGTCTTAAGACGGTTACAGCTGTAGGCTATATTGCTGTTCTTGAATCACTATCTAATTAACTGATTTGACTGCACGTGGAATAGTTTGGACCAATTTGCTGTGTCACACAGCAAAAAACCAAAAATTAAAAAAAAAACGTTTGTCGAGTTTTGAACATACCTGATTTTTAAAAGCTCCCTTCACGTTGAAATTAAGACTGTCTGCAACAACTTCACCGTCGCTACGCACATAGTAGATGACCATCTTAGATTTAGGCGCCATCTCTGGGGTAATAGTTACTTGGAGTGGCTTGGCGGCATCCACGGTGACTCTCTTTGTTGACACAATGTTTCCACGAGCCAAAATCTGTAAACGTTTTAAGATTAAAACATATGTAGGCATACGCAATTGTGTGGTATTAAGTTAAATGTGAATTCAGTGTCGTATTTACATGGACCATGGTCTAAAACGATGATGCTGTGGCAAGAGAGTTTCAGTCACAGATTTAATGTAAGTTACCGTCTGCGAACAGTTTTGATCCATATTTTTGTAAATAAATACATGTATGTTTATCGCCATTCTAAACAAAAGTTTAAAATCAATCACTTACTAAATACACGGGTGGTTCATATGTGAAGGGCTAGAAGCCAAAATTGGTTTTGCAGTAAAAAAAACTTCAACGTAACACAGGTAGTGGCGCGCTGATTGTGTAGAATTCCTCAATAAACGAAGTGTGTGTAAAAATCAAACGAAGCGATTTCAAGCCGAAAAGTCCACACAGAATCACGTGCGTTTCTAGGTACTACCGTAGGGGCACATTAAAAGGAATATAACTTAAGAAATGAAAGACTTTTGGATTAAATGGGGTTCTGTATAGTATGAATGTAAACGCCTTTTTAGAGCAAGAGATCAGAAACAGTTATCAAACCTGGTAGACCACTTCTTTCACTTGCTCGGTCGACTTGACTTCAAATTCAGCATTGCTTCCAGCCTGAAAGTACATGAACATACACATAAACTGATAAAACTTAATGCATCGAGCATGTGTAATTGTTCTGAATATAACTATGTTTTTTCTATCAGTGGTGATAATATTATATTTTTTACTTTTATTCAAGTGTGCGTGCGTGTGTGTGGCTGTACGTGTGCGCGCAAGCGTAGAACAAGCCCCATGCACTGAATGAAATTGGCCAAATGATAAATAATCATCAAGTACGTTTACACCACCAAACTATCTAATCAGTATCCCGGTAAATGAGATTAAAAAACAACCAGTTCCTTACCTGTGGTGATGGTGTTTTCAATAGGACCTGAAGAAAGCTGTCGCTTGGAGACTTAAATGCATCAACACTGTGGTAACGTGTTATGGTTCCATATTTAACCTACGATATAAGTTACCATCACTGACACAAAACAAGTGGTTATTTGCATACATATTAATACACACCCGTTGCAACATATAAAAGGCATTGTGATTTTTTCCAATTTATCCGAAGCGTAAACACACCATTTGTTCCTCTGAAATCTTATAAAATAAATATAGTTTTACATGTTTAAGATCTTTACCGATCAATTCTAAGACAATTTTTTTTCAGATGAAAACCTTCGTGTGTACACTGAGTTTCTTGCATTCTGTTTATTTGTTTATTCATTTATTTATTGTACGACTCAAGAAGAATGAGAATTTAAATGGCACTGAAAGTGTTTTACAACATTATCAGGTAGGAAAGTCGCAAAACCCAATCAGTAATGAAAAAGCCTTTTAAATTATACTCACTGTGAATGAAACCTCTGATGCCCTCTTTGGAACATCCATATTGAAATGCACAAACCCGTCATCTGGTACCTCAAGTACCTGGGTGGGCTCACTTTTGTAGGTGTAACGGGGGTACACACCCCAGTAGTAGCGGGGAGTGGTAGTAGTCACTCCATCTGGAATTACCTCTGGATATTGAACCCGAGCGTCGATCTGAAGCTTTGGGCGTGCTCCAACAATTGGTCTCCCGTCTTGCAAGCTCACTTTCGCCTATTGTGAAGGGATGTCATACACGCAAATATAAATACTCATAAAGACTTGGGACGATATATTGAACAGCTAAAACAGAAATTCCTTTTACACCAGGCTACGGCATCGGTTTCGCTGTACTGCCTAAACACACAACTGACCAGCATGATAGGGTTATCCGCGGCGAGCGTAGCTGTTTGGGCCCTATACATTTAGCTACTGGTAAATGAAGTACCAGCAAAGTTCGCATAGATTTGCACTAGAATTACACTTTTTAAATTAAAATATTGTTGATATGAAAAGCAAATTCTATGATTCACTAGACTATCACATAATATCTATTTTCTTGAATATTATTCTCATTGGATGCCAAGAAAATTTTAATTTAAAAGTCGTGAACGGTAACAGGACAATGTATTTACAAGTACTTACAAAGCCGGTGTATCTAAGTCCCGGTTTAAAAGACTTAGGGGTGGAGGACGGTATCTCTATCTTGTATGGAGTAGTGTGGAACTTTGTTTCTGCCGTCCCATTCAGCGTAATGCCAGTGAGGGTCTCTGTCACCTGGGCTTCCACAATTACCTTTCTGTAGCTTAGCCCATAATGATACATATTCTCCAAGACCGCCACGTCCTCTGTGAAGTCGGCTTTCCCGTCGACCTGTTTCATTTAATTTATGCCAGGTAAAAATTATGTTCATGTTATATGACCAACATGTTCTACTATCATTTGTATAATGTCTGCTGTTAAATCAATAACCGCTCTCTCTATTTTCGACAAATTTTAAATACGCTGCAATGTCTGTGCATACAATACAAATTGAAATGAACAACGCATTGTCACAACTAAGCAGTAACAGGCTGAACACAACCAACACACTGTAACATAAAAAATGGTCACATTCAACTCTCTATCGCATCTAACAAGCTGTCACCTCAAACATACACATTTACATCGAAATGCTATCGCATCTAACACACTTACTCATTCAATTCACTGGAACAACTAATTCACTTTGACATGTAATAAAGCGTTCTTGTGCCAATGAGCTTACCAGCGTGAGATGCTTGACGATCTCCCTCGGTCCCTTGTACCTATACGAATAGTAATCAAGTTTCAACTTCACGACACCTGTGCCTTCCACTGCTTTGCCATAGGTGTACCTGGAAGTTACAATATAGTGCTTTAGATGGGCCATGAAACACTATGGACTGCTAAGAGCAGTTCGTAATGCAACCATTCTATCTTACAATATGGCGAATAAAAATATATATCAATTGTAATATAAATATCTAAAACTGACTGTATCATCTTACATGTATACTCTATTTAAGTCGCTTCCGATTAATTTTTTTTATAAAAATCTAGTGGAAAAAGCCAGTGCACGTGTCACAACTTCTGTCTGTTAAGTCAACAGCGCTTCATTTAAAGCACATTAGAAATTAATTCATTATAAAGAGCCACCTTAGAATAAAACAAGCCACAGTGAAAACTTACTTTGCGCTCACGCTCCCCTTGAGTTGTTTATCCGTGGTCAACATGAATGATGGTAGATTCACCGTCACCTCAAATTTTGGAAGAACTGGAAAAAGTCAACACCAGTATATAAAAATACCAAATATTTTAAACTTGATAGCTATCGTCAAAAAGACATATAAAGAACATTTCTTTTACGGTTAACTAATCGTATTACCTAAAAGTTACTTTCACATACACCTGTAGGATATAGCACACAATCTATTTTAATAGGTAAACTCTAAGTTATATTAAAAGCTACTTGGGACTTCATATGGTCGTTGGATCAACGTTTATAAACGTTTTGTTTGCCTGATAACGCTCACAAAAGAGAAAAAAAGGAAGGCTCTGTTTCGGAATGCACATCTTGCGCTTGTGTGTGAATGGGTAGAGCGAGTGTGTGCGTGTACTAGTTTGCGTACCGGTAGTAAAGGGCACTTAATTGTATGCTGCACAGCTTAAGTCTACTTTTGGAGAAATCAAACTCAAAGATCACTTACTCAGTGCAACTATCTCCGGTGTCCATGTCTAATACAATGATTTATGGCCGATGAAATATTTATCTTAATTTTCCTGATTTTCTATTATTATTATTTTTATTATTATTGTGAATCTACAATGATTATAAGTATGACTAAAACTCACCGTATTCGTCCACACTGAACTGCTTTTCCTCGGTTTGGCCCTAAGTGGGTAAATAAGGATGCTAATTTTATCTAATAATTTAGAAATTCATCCACATTCTATAATTAATGTTGATAGTTGCCGGCAATAGCATTTGTGTTTCCACACAATTTACATGATAATGGTAATATCTCGTTTCGAAAGGTACAATAACATCCGTACAATAACATCCGTACAATAACATCCGTCTTGCAATACGCATTACATGCTCTTTCAACCGACTCAACATGTCTCACAACTAAGCAATGACCATACCTGTACAATAAAGCAATTGAGTGTCAAAGAGTGAGCGTAAGACCCTTACAATTATTAAGCATTTTCTGTAAAAATCCAATCCTTTCCCTTAACTCCAAGGGTACATGTATGCCAAGTCTAAACTCATTGACAGAATTACGATCAACGTGTGTCGATCGACGTTTTTTAGTTTTAAGGGCTCATTCCCATTGAAAATATCGGTCTAGGTAGATTGATCCAACTCATCGGGGATTCTCGCTGAATGCTAACGTTCGTACTGGTATAATCATCCTACTCAAAGCCAGGAAGAGGCGTGTCAATATGTTGAACTGACTGCACTCAGCAAGAGTCCCAGCGGAGTGGGAGCTATCTACGTAGACCGATAGTTGCAATGGGAATGAGCCCCAAACCACTTATTTTTCAACCTTGTAATGGAGGTAGGTTTTGGAGAATGGCACTCATGACGGCAAGTTAGGAGCTCAAAAATGGGCGTATTGATCGTAAATTTCTCAAACGGCTTTGATAGGATATTTCTTTATGATTTTTTTTGTGCCTATAACTTACCGCCACGGTCACTTTGATCTTCCAGTTGCCAAGGGGCGGTTGTTCTGAGAGAGGAAGATCAGCGGCAACCACACCAGAGGGCTCTTGCAGGTTGACCCATCTCTTAATTTTGTTCTTCAGCGAGTCCTGTTGTAAGAAAACATATTTAGTTGTCAGCAATTGGCCCTATATGCTGTATATGGTTCTTAATAGAGATTATTAAAAGAATTACTGCATGACCTAAATTCTTTTCTAGTTTTAATGTTGTAAATATGGTATATTTATATCATTATAATCGATCACTATTTTAGTAAGATACCAAAAAATAAAAATAAATAAGTATAAGGATAAAATATTCATTTCAAATATTGAAATGGTATAAAAATAAATTTACGTAGATTTCCACTGTCATAGGACCATTGAAAGTCTTCAAGTCGGGATACACTGCCAACGCTCGTAAACGCACTGAAAGTAAAAAAAATAATAATAGTAAACAGAGACGCTAGAAATTTGACTACTATTGTTCCAAGATTAACATAGATTGGACGATGAAATTCTATTTAATTACTGATCGCTTTTTTCTTTTTTACCGGTAGGTGCCGCATTCATATTTTACTCACGTCCTGTGTTGTAGGCTACATGTACATGAATGTTCCAAGTTTACTAAGTAAACAATAAATGGCAAGCGATTGTCGTCCAATGACATCAAACTGACCTGTCTGTCCGGGTTTGTAGATGGCCTTGTCCGTCTGGACGAAGATGGACATTCCTTTAGACTTGTAGGCGAGCTGGGACTCATTCCTGAAGCGCAATCCTCCGCTTCCTACTACGCGCAGACTGTACGACCCGGAAGTAGAGCTGGTCGGAACCTAAAAGTTAATAAGACCCAAAAATGACAAAGTATAAAGAATCATCAAACATGTCGCTTTAGCACAACGTAGTTTTCTCAATGGCCATAAAAGTTGGCACTTGGTTACTTTAGGCGAAAAGAAATTTAAACAGTGAAGAGGATAAAGGTTTTATGAATTTACCTGAATTAAAAGGGTCCCAGGCTTTCCTAAAAGATAAAGATAAAAAAAATGTAGTGGTAGTGTGATATATCTGCCAAAAAGCTATTAAGACTGCAAACACAAAAAAAAATCAACTCACACAGTCAATTTATACCCAAGTACGCGCTTTAAAACATTCTAAAAAGTACAATAAAAATCTGTAACTGTAACTGTACCTGCTTGAAATGTCCCGGTCTGTGACGTAATATCGACGTTGTCCTTGACAAGGGTACACGTGACATCTACTGGAGCGGGCGCCTTAAGGATGGTCACGCTGACGTTCAAAGGGAGTCCCGGCCGTACGGCGTTCGGAGAGACGATAATATACGTGCTAAAGTAGACAAAGTGAAAGCGAAGTAGTGTCGGGCCTATAGTGGTCTGAATTCCCCCACAAATATTTATAAAACTACTGTTACCAGGCACAAATGACTAAAAAAAATAATGACCAGGGCCGTAGGCTCTGTTTGTGTTTGTGTGTGTGTTGGGGGGAGGGGCAAATTTATACAATACTTAAATTTCACATTCCCCTTTTCCATCCAGATCTTAAGTTCGCGCTTTTTCAGCGCACATACATGTGTATGAGTAGGCTACCACAGGCGTTACATATTTAAATAGCCTCTTAATATGCATTTTAGGCCTTCACTCTCCCAAAGCATTTTATCAGCCTGCGGTCCGGATGATTTTGCCTACATGTTCATCTCCTTCAAAAATGTGGGGTACACATGTAGTTGCATTTTGCGGTATTGTCTCTTAAAGAGTTTTTGAATAATGGGCTATTTCCCGAGAAAAAGGACAGTCATTAAAAATAGGTGCCTCGATGAAAATCGTCCATTAACTGGCATCGGTTGGATTTAGTTCCTCGTGGCATTTAAATAAAAAGAAGGGAGATTTTTTTATTATTTATTTATTTATTTATTTATTTGTTTATTTATTTATTTTTATTTTTTTTTGGGGGGGGGGGGGAATACCACACCCTGTTTTGCAACGGGGAAATAGGGGATTAGGCCAGTACCGAATTTAAAGGTATCGCGTTTAAAATTCTATAGATCTTAAGAAGTTCGGACAGACACCGGGAATAAATGAATTTTTATCAAATACTAAAAACTTTTCACTTTTCAGTTTATTTCAGTTGACCTTGAAACAGCTATTAGAAACTGTTATCATATAAAATACGACTGGATGACTTATCTTCACACTGTTATTAACTCTTGGAACTGCCTTCACGACCGCGGCATCCAAATTTGTCGCTTTTTTAATAAAGGACATCCTAATGAAAAGATAGAATAACAAGCTCAGTCATTAATACTAGTTTACAAAAATGACACCACTGTGCCAACCCGTGTCAGTTTACAAAAATAACTGCGAGTGTTTGGTTTTCCACGCACCCAGATAGCACTCCCTTCTTCTAAACATACCATCCTCACACATAGGCGATTATGAGAGAACCGCATTCAGTCAATTTAAATGTTGATTTAAGAATCAATCACAGATAACTGCTATTGCTGGCTCAAGGTTATCTGTAAGGATTTACTTTGGAGAAGATCAAGGTAAAACTGTCTGTTTGTGTTTGTGTGAAGAAATAGAACTTGGACACGGCGTTTGCTCTGCCCTGTCACGAACCCACTATACCTTATTATGCATAAAATATCAAAATTTTCGCTCTAATATTTTTTAAAGTAAACGTATGAGAGAGAGAGAGAGAGAGAGAGAGAGAGAGAGGGAACTTATTTGGCAACAGTGGATAAGCATCAGCACTTCTTATCTCATTAAAGCTTTCCAACCGCTTACTCCAAGGTCACATATTTCTGCACATCGCCCAAGTCACGTAGTAAGGTTAAAAAACATTTAATTGTTTCCTCATGGGTGTCATTTTGGGTATTTTACGCTCCTTGCGTGTTTAATTACGAGCTCGCAAAAGTTCAGCCGCGCTCCCATAAGTTCACCACAGTAACATTAAGTCTGTTATCAAGAAGTGTTAGGGGCTCTTCAAAGAGAAAGTAGTTGAACAAAAAGAAATTAAAATTCTAGACCAAGATGCAGATTTGAAAATGATGATTCTAAATGGGTTCTTAATTTTGTTCTTCCCTGTACATTTTGCATTGCAGATTTCTCTAGAAATTAAAACTGAGCTAAATTGCCTTTTAAAAGCACATTAAAATATCCCTGAATTTATGGTTAAAAAAAAAAAAACGTCTCCAACATAAGGTTGCCACAACCACGATAAGCTTAACAATGTTAAGACAAGCTCCTGTCTTTTTTCATGGGACATTTTTAAACTTTCAGGTTCGTCTCAGAAATGTCTGCATTGGTGTCTAAATGATTTACATTTATTTCAAAAATGCATTCCACAACTTGCAGATGGGTTTGATCTGTTGCTGAAATATACGCATGTATGTCAAATGTGTTTTCAATAATAGCAACTGCCGTGTCTGCAAATATGTGAGACGCGCTCTTGTAAGAAAAAGCATAGAATGCGTGTAAAACATTGATCTCAATGAAAGTAAATAAAATAGAATTAATAAGGTCTACTTACCTGGAGTAGGCATTCGCCAGGGTCCAGCACAGTGTAATACACAGTATGATACGCAGCATCATGGCTGAAACAGAGAATGAAGCGGTGATTAGCGCGTTAATGAGCCACCGACATTACGCTTGTAAACTCACGACACGTTACGTTATATGCAAAGCGTATTAAAATAGCCTAGCGTCCAAATCGTTCCTTACCTTTTCACCATATGGTATATGATTTTGAAGGAAAATTGACGAACTAGACTCGAGTCGTGTTTTATATACCTTCGGTTCACGGTCAAATAAGAATACCAAGAAAAGGATGATCAGGAAATCGGATGTCACACGTGGAAAACGCTAAATACGCCGAAGACAGAAATGACGAACGAGGAAATCTAACACCTAAGATAAAAACACGCGGTTTGATAAACGTATCTGTATGGTTTGCGATGTCCATTATATTTACATACAAGAACATTAATATGGTTATTCAGTATGCAAAACGTCTCATACCTTGTGATCGCACTGCCACCATATGATACTGCAAGACACGTACTGCTCACGGATCCAGGATGCGCTTTAAATAGACCGTTCCCTTATCGCCGTGTACAGCTAATATCGAGCCAGGATCTCCCAGGGTAGTAGAGGAAGGGATAGGCGCTGGGATCGTCAAGGGTTATTTATATATAGAGTAAATACTTGTAAGCCTGACTGGGTGCCATAGACAACGGGGGATTGGCACGTTCTGTCTCCAAAAACTGTGTGAAATAAATAAATTAATAAATTAATTAATAAAAATAATTTTGGTGTTATGTGTCTGTTTATTTCTTAAGTCTGATAAAACATTTTATAAAATTAGTAATAAATGAAAACAAATTTTTTAATCGTGTTTTGATTATTTTTAATAATTTGCTTAGTGTCATAGTGACACCAGTTTTTTACTGAGTTCGTCAATTAAGCAATACTAAAGACATGGATTATTTACATGTAAAGTCATTAAACAAACACACTGTGCGTTATTTGTGGCTTCATAATTCATGTAGTTAATTGTGTTAAAAAGAATGACACGTAGCACAAAAGACAGGCATGTTAGTGGCTGCAGTCACAGAAACGGTCGGTAGCTCGTGCGACCTCTTCTTTCTGCATCTCTAGTTCTCAAGCGGAGAGGCATTCCCTCTGACAGGAGAGTCGCTTTGCCGTATTACTTCAGTCATCGATCGGAACTTTTCTGAGTTGGTTCAGATATGTCGTTGATTCGGAAAGTAATTGTTGCCTCCAGATTCTCCATAGGCTTCATGTCTGACGACCTTGATGCACGACCACTGTGACTGTTCAACCCCTAGGTTGCAGTGGTCTGCAAGTAATATGCGATTGCAAGTGCTCTTTGTGGACGGGCATTGTCGCCTTGAAAAAAATTGATTTCGGGATGTCCGCTATGAAATGGGAGGTAAGCGGTTATAACGGCCGTTCATTCTCCTTTATCTTGGAGGCCAACTTGGTGATGATATTAACCCCATGCCAAAATGTACAGTAGAAAAATTGCCATGAATTAAACAGAGAAATATCTGTCGATTTATAGCAAAACATCAATCTGTGGCGCTGGTACAGGGTTGTTTCATCCCAGTCCAGTCCGGCTTTTCCCCCCCGAGTTCTCAAGCAGTGTTCGGGTGTTTCCGTCGCATATTCACATCACAGAGGAGCATATACCCGGTAGTCTATTGGGTATGATTCTGGGCATGCCATGCATGAAATCTACAAACAAGCAACTGGAGGAGTAGCCCGGGAAATTATTTGTTTCTATTTCATCTGAATTTGTATCGTTAATTGTAACTTAGATTTAATGAAAAAATTCGTTTAAAGATACTCATACGCTTTTGATGTTTTTTATTTATTTATTTATTTATTTATTTATTTATTTATTTATTTATTTATTTATTTATGTGTGTGTTTGTGTGTGTGTGTGTGTGCGTGTTTGTGTGTTATTGTGGACAAGTATGGTATTCTACAGTCTTTTTTCTGTTGCTTTTAGGTTCACTAATCAGGTTGATGACCGACAGTTGAACGTGGCAAAGGCAATAAGTGCAGTTTCTGGCTTTTGATTTAAGCTCATATTCCGATGTTACAAAAGATCTTGCATCCAGCATGGAGATAAAACCTGCTGAAGCTCAAACGCCAACAGCTTACTGCATGAGCGCATATAGCGCTGGCTGACACTCAAGCACATGCGGCTGTGCTTGTGGTACTTTGGGCTTCTCCAATAAGGTCGCGCGACAAGGTTATTTTCAGTTGCACCCTGGATTACGCACGCTTGCTCCGCAAGGTGTCGCCTGTGGTGGGGGGGGCAACACAGCCCATATGGTTACTGTGGCGAAGGTGACAGGTACTTCCAAACATTTTTTCATAACTGTCATTTTTCCTCATTCTGTTCACGAATTTGATATTTACGGCAATGGAAAATGTGGCACCGGCAGAAGTGAATCTACAATGTAGGTTCGTTGACAGGCCACACAGGTGTCCCCAATTAACCGCCGCCAGAGAAGAGACCCCAAGCATTAAACAACACAACCTGTAGGTATTGGAAATTTGGCGAAAGTTAAGCAACTGAGGCTTTATTAGATTTGGACAGAAATCCANATTGGTAAGTAAGTGCCTTTAAGTTTATATGTTTATCCTTATTTTATTATAAATGGTTGTGTACCGTTATTTTTTAAATCTCTGTTGCAGTGAATGTCACACATCTTAGGCCTATCACTAATATTGATGTCACAACATGAGAGAATGTAAACAAAATCATTTTCTCAAAAACAAAAGAAATGGCCAGCGTTGTATATTCGGTAAAAATGCGGGCTTATTTTCCTTTATTATGACACTCTACTTAATGTTTATTACATTGAAAGAAAACAAAACATCGATGAAATCTAACTAAAGCAAAATACGCGTGGTCGTTTAGCATAGCAAATATTAGGTTACACGTGTCCTGTCCTTATGTCACACATTTTTAAATATATCCAGTAAAGATGAACCGTGAGAGTCTCCCTATAGTGTGTTATTGTTACTGTCCTGTCAATAAGTCATCCACTCAATATTTCTGGTCTAATGACCGCCGTCGACCGACCTCTTCAATGAAAAAGAGACAAATAGTGAAGTCTAAAAGCTAAGTTCAAAACAAATCTTAAACTAGATGTTGCCAATGGGATTGTACGAGAGGAATAGCTCTACTCAAATGTGGACATAAGCAAGAGCTTTATCAAAGTTTTCTTCTCACAGGATTGACTAATCAATTTTAACCATTGTTGCTGTTGTAAAAATGTAATATGGACCTTTTGGTCTATTATTCCTCGACACGTTTATCTTAAATAGAGATGTATCTTTTATGCAAGACAAGTGGAACCCATTACCTGTAATAGTTGACCCTTTTAACAGCGACCGGATATATTTTGCGAAATAGCTTTACCGGTGTAATCTTTACAAAAAAAGATTATTCAAAATAAGCACAAGACAAAAGTAAACGACCTCCATTGCACGTTTGGGTGTGTTTCTATTAAGACACAACGCTTTAATCAAGGTTAAACAGATTGAAACAGAACAAATTATTGGCGAAAATCTAATTAAATCAAAATACGCGTGGTCGTTTAGCATAGCAAACGTCAGGTTACACGTGGGTTGTCATTATGTCACACATTTCATTAATGTATCCAGTAAAGATGAACCATGGAAGTCTCACTGTATCAGGGAGGAATCAAGCTTCACGTGTTATAATTATTGTGTCTTGTCCTGTCAATACTCTGATACTGAATAGATCTGATCCAGTGACCTTCGTCGACCTTTTCACAGAACATCGAGACAAACAGTGAAGATCAGAGTGTCCAAAGAGACAAGTTTAATTTAAAACAAACTAGTTTGTGCCGATGGGTACCCAGTGCATATCCCCGCATAGTAAAGAGTCGCTCACTTAGTTGATATCGTTGGCACTACTGTATATATACCGGTACAGGTGAATATAAAGACCGGTATAAAAACATACCCCTGTACTTCATAATAACAGCATAAGAAATATGCTTTTATACATGGCTATTAAAAACACGAACATTACAATAGCACGTTGAAAGAAGATCCCGCAGGTTAAATACACCCTGAAAGAGTTAAATAAGACAGTGTTAAGGAAGCGCCTTGCGTGTTAAGTCGAGTGACTAGTGAGATCAACCGTGGAACACCCTAGGCAGGAAGCTTTGTAATCGCTTTTGCTATATAATCTTCTTTTATTATCGCTGCTGGTATAGTGTTATAATTGACGTTATATACTGACGATGTATATTTCTGGCCTATGCTACTGCTATTTCTTGGACACCATATAAGTGCTGTCTCGTTGGAAAAACTGTTTGTAGTCAGAAGAGTAATCAAGATGGCCGCAGTAGAGTTTGGATTGAATGTTTCGGACGAGTTGGTGCCAAGTGCAAATGAAACAGACGTGGACTACTTTTCTTGCGTAAGTCTCAATTGCTTGTCTTTTATTATTCTTGATACACTTTTGGCCGTTGTGGTTACTGGAGCTAATGGCCTCGTTATACTTGCCTTTGTGAAATGCAAAGAACTACGCGAGAAGACAAATGTTGCAGTCGCAAGTCTTGCAATGCTCGGTTTTCTCGCTGGAATTATTGGCATACCGTTCGCTAAAGTTGCAACGTATGTGATGAAGGACCGCTCCAACAAACACTTATGTCTATTAAAAATATACATGAACATGGTAGTTATGATGATTGCTGTGGACCACAAGCTGTTCATAGCATTTGAAAGATACATTAAAATCTGCCGACATTCCCAATATGTGTCAGCGGTAACAATGAAGAAGATTGTCGCAGCAATAGCTCTCTGTTGGCTTTACCCTGTTTTTCTTTTTCTTCCACCATTATTGGGTTGGAATACATGGACCCCGACTGTGGAATGCACGTTCCTTAATGTCCAACAGGAATTCGTAGCCAAAGTGATAACTCCGCATTACCCCATTTATTGCATATTGGCCTTTGGGTTTTATGCTGCAATCATTCTACACGTTAGGCGACAGAAGATGATTCTTAAAACAAACAAGAGTGCAATGACATAGAACAGATGAGGGATAATCGGATTAACAAGAATGATCATACGAACAAGATCGAAGCACAGCCATCAACATCCAAAGGATCTGGTCTTTCAAGCACACCGAATGTGTTATATTTTAAAAATAAAACAGCCGTAGAAGAACTTGAGGAAGTGAAACCATTGCCATTTAAGGGGAAAGGAAAAGGTCGCGGGAAGGGTTCGAAACCAACTCCTAAAGCCGCCTGGCCTTCGTCAAAATTCCAACAGCAAAGTTCCCAAGAAACTTGTCAGTCAAAACAAGACCAAAAGAAGGAACGAACAAAGAAACAGGCAAATATACAAGCAAATG